AACATGGTGTTCACTTTCATTCGGCACTGACTATACATATCTATGACAACATGCGGGCTAGGGTTCATACCTCACTGTTGACTACATATCTACTCTTCTCACTTATGTNCATATAAATCAAAGTTAAGTATAACGCGTGATCAAAATCTATTTGTATATGGAAGAAAACGCGCAACACCCTTAGCGACTTGAAACTGGCACTTTGTTTTATCAAAATTGAATGGGCTACGAAACTGCATACTCGAAAAATTTCTAGAAATTTTGAATACAAATTGTTAAATTTTGTTGAAAATTGTTAGAATTTTTGTGAACTTTGTATAAAGTGTGAAGCTTTGATTTATATGGTTGTTGTTATAGAATAATCAATATTTTCATAAATAATTAATGAAACAAGTTTTTCTTGAAAATAAGTGTTAATATTATATTAGAACATGGTGTTCACTTTCATTCGGCACTGACTATACATATCTATGACAACATGCGGGCTAGGGTTCATACCTCACTGTTGACTACATATCTACTCTTCTCACTTATGTATACTTACATCTCTCTTGGCATTTGCATTTTTATTATCGACTTGCTTGGCCTTTAGACGTTGCAAATGATTTGGCAGACGTTTTTCAGCATCTTTATTAGCGCCAGCAGCTGAAGCAGCATTAGTGGTAGTTGACTTACTGTTACTCGTTTCAGCGCCCAAACGTGGCGTTGAACGACGTATGCGTTCTAGCTCCACTTCACGCGCAACCAGCTGCCGACTAAAGTAGTTCAATGTAACACCAATATAGCCTGTGAAAGAGAAAAACCGATATTAAGATGGCGATAAAGGAAATTACAGTGAAATGCACTTTTCAGAAGAAGAAAGAATACCTATAGCATACATATAGCAAATACATGCGAAAATTAAATCTGTTTACTTTTTATTTGAGGGAATTTAACTTTTAGTTAAAGAAGATTTTCAATGCAAATTTAATCTACGGTCGCTGAAAAAAAAAATTGCCACAGAGAAATTTTCACATGAGCAAAATTTTTTTTTTTTTAATTTTTGATTTTTTTTTTTTTTTTTTGCAGGAGAAAATTAAACGAATGCTTGAAACTTGCACAGTATTAAAAGTGAATTGGCTACCAAACTGCCCAAATTTTTCTAAAAATTCTGATTAAAAAGATTGAAATTTTGATGACCGTTTTTTTTTAATTTGGCAATTTTTCTTTAATTCTTGTACAACGTTTGAAACGTTGAGTTACATTGTTTTCATTGTTGTATAAACTATATATATTAAAAAATAAAATAAATAAAGAAAAAATAATACGTCAAAACTTGTAAAAAAGTAGTGTCACTAATTATGTGGCTACTGCTGTACATAAACTTGGCTTAGTCCTTTTTAAGAACCTAATACCTACCCGGAAATTGTGCCAAAGCATCCAGATCGGGTTCCATTTGAAAAACGTATGAACCTTCAGCCGCCTTCACTTGCGTATATGTCAATCCAAGATCGGCCATAACTGTAACGGCATGAAAGAGATCATCACGTTCTCTGAAACATTAAAAAAAAAAA